GTTCCTACTATCTCTGAAACAAGTCCACATTTGATATGTGGGAATTGTTTAAACATCTACAGATCAAAGTTTAGGACCGGCATGCTCTGGTAAGGAGGAAGAACAAGGATGGCAAGGTAAGGGATCCTTGGATAATGAGGGAGCTTGCAAATTAAGTCAAAAGGAAAAATGGACTATTCTATACATACATTAAAAACAAGAGGATAACTAGGAAGAAGGTAGGACCACTCGAGGATTAAGGAGAGAACTTGTGCTTGGAGGCAGAAGATGTGAGTGAGATCCTAAATGAGTAGTTTGTGTCAGTATTCACCCAAAAGAAGGATATGGAGAATAGTGAGAGTAGTGTGGAACATGTTAATATGCTAGGACATTTTGAGATCAAGAAAGAAGAGCATTAAGGTGGATAAGTCCTCAGGGCCCAGTGGTATCTATGCCAGGTTATTGAGAGGTAATAGAGGAGATTGCTGGGGCCTTGACCAAGATCTTTATATCTTCGCTAGCCACTGGAGAGGTCCTGGAGGACTGGCAAGTAGCTGATGTTGTTCCTCTGTTCAAGAAAGGAAGTAAGAATAAATCGGTGGTTGGGAAGCGACTGGACAAAATTTCTCAAGGGTATGAATTATGCTCATTTGGAAAAACATGGCCTATTTAGGGATAGTTAGCATGGCTTTGTGCGGGCCAGGTCATGTCTTACTAACTTGATTGAATTTTTCGAGGAGGTGATGAAAATGATTAGAGGGTAGAGCAGTGGATATTAGTCAGGCTTTTGACAAGGTCCGTCATTTTGGCCTCATCCAGAAGATTAAGGTGCATGGGATCTATAGTGATTGGCCATTTGGATTCAGAACTGGCTTGCCCATAGACAGAGGGTAGTGGTAGAAGGGTGTTTTTCAGGCTGGAAGTCTGTGACTAAGTGGTGTCCTGCAGGGATCTGTACTGGGATCTGTGCTGTTTGTGATATATATAAATGACTTGGATGAAAATGTAGATGGGTGGGTTAATAAGTTTGCAGACAGTACAAAGATTGGTGGAGTTGCAGATAGTTTAGAAGGTTGTCAGGGGATACAGTGAGATTATAGATCAGTTGCATATATGGGCAGAGAAATGGTAGATGGAGCTTAGTCCAGTTAAGTGTGAGGTGCTGCGCTTTGGGAGATCAAATATTAAGGAAAGGTAGACAGTTAATGGCAGGACCCTGGACAGCATTGAAGTATGGAGGATCTTGAGGTTCAAGTCCATAGCTCCCTGTAAGTGACCACACAAGTACGTAGGGTGGTAAAGAAGCTGTATGGCATGCCTGCCTTTATTGGCCGGGCAATTGAGTACAAGAGTCTGGATGTCATGTTGCAGCTTTATAAGGCTTTGGTTAAGCCACACTTAGATATTGCGTTCAATTTTGGTCACCAAGTCACAGGAAGAAGTGGGAGCTTTGGCGATGGTGCAGTAGGTTTACTGGGATGCTACCTGGATAAGAGGGTATGATCTATAAAGAAATACCGAAAAACTCGGGTTGTTTTATCTGGAGCAGCAGAGGCTGAGGGGTGACTTGATTGAAGTCTATAAAATTGAGATGCATGGGTAGGGTTGATGGTCAGAATCTTTTTCCCAAAGTTGAAATGTCTAATATTAGGGGACATGCATTTTAAGTTGAGAGGGAAAGTTCAAAGGAGATGTGAGGGGCAAGATTTTCACACAGTGGTAGGAGTCATAAATGCGCTGCCAGGGGTGGTGGAGGAGGCAGACACGAGGGGTGTTTAAGGGATTTTTAGGTAAGTACATGAATATGGAAGTAACAGAGGGATATGGATCAAGGGCAGGCTGAAGGGATTAGTTTAATTTGCCACTACGTTCGACACAACATTGTGCGCCGAAGGTCCCGTTCTTATGCTGTACGGTTCTGTGTTCTGTTACTCTTAGGTTGAGGTAGAAGAAAAGAACCTAAGCTTTTGAGAGCATCCGAAACTGGCTGTGTGCACTAAGTACTGGTTTTGCGTCTAATGAGCTGTGTGCATTTTACTCCAGTTATGCTTTCATATATCTTTTGAAAATATTGCCAAAGCAGTTCATCAAATGATCAACTTTCTTGGTTGTTCAACATTGTAAAAAAAAACATGCTCCCAGTCAACTTCAGTTTGGAAAACCAATCCATACCCGTTAAAACTGTTTTGTGACATAACTTGCTGACTACAGTGGGAAACTTGATGAACTTTGCTTGTTTTAGATATAACACACCATTTGACTGTTTTTAACACCACGTCAGTGTAGATTTTCAATTGAACTATGCTCTGTTGAGGTAAGTCACTGAATTTGCTCTTGTCTGCATGTTTACACCTGGTTTGATAGTACCAATGTAACACCCTTGTGTGTGTCCCAGATAATGGCAAGTTTTCTGACCAATTCCCAATTATTAATTGAAGAAAATATACCTGTATAGACTGAGAATTGATTAACGGGCAGAAAACAATAAGAATAAATTAATCATTCTTATCATGGCATACTGTTGCTAACTGGATGTTGCAAGGATCAGTGCTACAAATACAGTTCACAATCTATATCAATTTGGATTTAGGAGCACAATGATCTGCATTACTTTTAATGGGCTTTCGATGTGAAACAATGAATTGGAAAACACCGATGATAGTTAATAGATCAAAAATGGGCGACATGGAGGTTCATTGATTAGCATAGCTGCATCACAGCATCAGGAACCCAAGTTTGATTCCACCCTTGGGCGACTGTCTGTGTGGAGTTTGCACATTCTCCCAGTGTCTGTGTGCTTTTTTCCCTCCCACAGTCCAAACGTGCATGTTAGGTAGATTGGCCATGCTAAATTGACTGTAGTCTTCAGGGATGTGCAGGCTAGGTAGTTTAGCCATGGGAAATGTGGGGTTACAGGAGTAGGATGGGATGCACGTTGGAGGGTCGACACAGACTCAATGGGCTGAATGGCCTCTTTCCACACTATAGGGATTCTATGATTTAGTGGGAAAAATTGTTTAGTTATTGGATGTGCAGGCCAGGGCTTTTGTGGCACAGTGATAGCATCCCTATCTCTGAACCAGGAGGCCCAGGTTCAGTCCTGCTTGCTCTAGAGATTTGCAATAACATCACTGAACAGGTTGATTAGAAAATATAAATGCGATTGAATTGCAGTACAATAGATGTGGAGGCTAAGAGCTCTTGTAGTCCAGTGGTGGTGTCCCTTCATCTGGACCAGAAGTCTAGATTCAAGTCCAACTTGCTCCAGAGTTGTGCAGTAACATCTGAGCAGGTTGTTTCGAAGATATCTGGATGTATAGGCCATTGGTGTCTCTTGTGGCAAAACAGTAGTGCATTAGAGTATTGTTTACTGTTTTAGCTACTTTCCTGAGGAAGGTTACACTTCTCCTGGGGAGAGAGTGCAATGGAAGATCACAGTTTTGGGTTGTGGAATATTTTGAGGAGAGCAGGCCTTATTTCCTAGAATTTCAAAGAATGAGAGTTGATTTGATTCAAACTGACAAAATTCTTAAAAGGCATGACAGGAGGAATGTAGATATTTCTCCTTGCCAGTGAGTTTAAAACCATGAGATGTAATTTCAAGTTAAAGGATAAACCATTTAAGATTGACATGAGGAGGAAATTTCATCTTTGACAAAATGGTAGATCTTTGCAGTTTTCTAATCCAGTGAGATGTGAAAACTCAATCATTGAGCATGGTAATGACAGAAATCTATAGATTTCTGGAGACTAATATCATTAAGAGTGCCACATTCCCAAACTGAGGTAGATGATCAGCCGTGACCTAATTGAATGGTGGAGTCGGGTATGTTGTTTAATTTTCCAATGTAGGAATTTAACCATTTTAAACTCCTGTATTTCTCTATGGAGGGGGTTTGGGTAGAGTGTTTTCTACTTCTGCTAAGGAATGCCCATGGAACTAACTCAAGTTTTAACAATGATTCCAGTTAGATTTTTCAGCAATGCACCTGACTTTGTGAGGACACGCTATATTTTGGAAATGCTGCTCCAAATTAAACTAATTTAACTTTGTAACTGTAAGGGTATTTGTCACCAACAGAAATTTGTTCACAGAGACAGCTCATCATTGACAATTTACTCTGGGAAAGTATTGCAATAAAATATCTAAGTAATGTCCTATGTTGCAGGTAGTGATGATGTTATAGGCCCTGAAGACATGGAGAAATTCTGTGAAGATATTGGAGTTGAACCTGAAAATGTAAGTGCTAGTCCGCAAAATGTAAGCAGTGTCAAAAAAGCTAACAGATGACTTTTATGTTAAGCATTTATGTTGAATCGCTTTTGTATTTGTATATTTATAAGAAAGCTATACAGAACTTTTTGTATTAATTATGTGCAGAGATTTTTCAGGATTCTGGAACAGTTTGTTTTGGCAGTTACTTTTCAGCACTTTAGTGAATTGAACATAGTGTACTGGTCACAAACTATACGGCAGATATATAATTCAAATCGCAGCTTTTCAGAAGACATAACAATCTCTGCAGATGATGAGAAACTAACTCCCTGAAAGTGAAGCCATGTCCTTTTTGTGAGCTAGAAATGGGTCTTCTGCTGACTAATTGCAATTTTTTTAAAGAATTGCAGAATTTTAGTTTTTGTTTGAAGGAGAAAATTGCAACTCTCAAAAGATGTTATTGTCAGTGTGTCCTTTAAATGAGGATAAGTAATGTTTAGCTTCTGCAAGAAAACTGCATTTAAAAATGGTTAATATATCTGGTGCTAACATTTGAGCAAATCAGCAGTGCTTACATAAAATAGCAGATAACATGGAAATGTGTAGATGTAATACCATGGAAATAGACCTTCTAACCAAAAAGATGATGCTTATCCCGCACATAGGCAATAGTCCTAATCTTTTGTGCCTGTCTTGTTTCCATTTCTCCTTTTTATTCTGCCTTTTCCTTCAATTATTATATAATTGATCATAAGTCTCTTTTACAGTTGTAGAATTGGTGTTTGAAGAGACTAGTTCAAAAGAGAATTGAGTATTCAAGTGCACAAATTATTGTATACTAACAGTTGAAATCTAATTTTCTTCTCCACTTCTCCAACATTTTCCCCATTAATTTTCTGTACAATCCAGTTTTTTTAAAAAAGTTGATGTTTGAAAATTCAAATGGAATGTAGTGAGGGCTGATTGGAGATTTGGCTGTAAATTGTTGCTGAACCAGCCTACAGTAGCAGTTAAAGATTAAATCAGTTATATGAAATGTTTTTGTCACAAAAGTTCAATTTATAACAGCAATTGCATTATTCCATGATGGACCAAGTAATGTATATTTTTAACATACCTTAACTAAAAAGGTCTGTAAGAATAAGGGTTTTATTTTCCTAAAATTCATTCTAAACCTAATTGTTTGTTCCTGCTGAATTTTAGAATTTATCCAGCTTGTGAAGGTTCCATTGATCTTTTTCCTCAGTGCTCTGCTGTGCCCTTGTAGAAAAAGGGAATCCCTTTTTCTGCACGTCAAAATCCAGGATCAGATGTATTATTAGAATGCAGTGGACTGATATTGTTATCCCTTTTGTTTTCTGCAATAGTACGCTAAAGTAGTCACAAATTCCCCAACAAGTAATAATGCAAGTGCCATTTTGATTGAAATAACCAAACAGCTTTTTCTGAAAGGAGTTGAAAGCGTAGCACTGTCAGAAGCATACTTCTTGACAGTTTGGATTTTTATGCTGTTTTATAAGCTATTGCTTTCAAAAATGCTTGTGGAAGTTATTAACGTCCACTAAGAAAAGAAAATCCTGCTTTCCTCACCGCTTTGGCCTCATGACACTGATTCAAGATCAACAGCAATCTTAAATGGCCTTGCAAGTGACTCAGTTGTATCTAACAACTTAAAAAGCCTGACAAAAGGAGTGAGTAGATCAACTGGCACTGACCAACCCATCAGAAATGACTACATATGCAGCCCTATTAATATAGTAAAGTTCTTATTAACATCGAGAGCATGTGTCAAAATTGTGAGATCTGCCCCACAGACTATTCAAGAAATTTTATTTTGCACAGGTAAGTAACTCTAATGTAAGAAAATCTTGGAAATGTAAATGAGTCAAATTCCAAAACTTGTCATAAGACCAAGGCTAGTAGACATGCGCAATTTTGAAAAATATTACTGTTCTATTATCTCTAGAAAGATATAATAACTTTGAGCCCTTTTTGATTTGGTTTTGATCTTATTTGAATCCTTGACCAAACCACTAAAATTAACCCTACCCCCACCTCTTCCATTAAAAGTTATGATAAAGGTATATAATTTGTTATCAGTTTGGAATTTGCAGGGAGGTTGTTTCCACTGGCAGGTGAAACTAGAACTCGGAGGCATAGCCTGAAAGAGTCATACCTTCCAAGCAGTCTCCTAGATTTAGCCATCCTTGGATATATCCTGCTGCACTGACAGGACAGACCCACTAGAGGTGATAGCACAGTGGTAAATAGTCAGAAGAAAGTTGTAGTGGGAGTCCTCAACATTGATTCTATGAAGTCTGATGGAGTCGGGATAAACATGGACAAAGAAACCTACTGATTAATGCCTCTGTCCTCTGTCCTCTGTTTCCACCACCACTAGCAACAACTCCCTGCTCCCAATTTGGTTTGCTTTTTGCCCTTCTCTCTGCCCCTTTCTACCACCCACCCCAAGAGAAAAAAGAAAAGCTGATGAATTAGTTTTCCATGTTGAACGCCATTTAAAGTGACCATTGCCAAGAGTGGGTTTGTAGCACCATAACAGATTGAACTGACCAATTCCTTAAGGGCAAACCCTACAGCAGGTGGTGAGGAAACCAGATGGACCTCATCCTCACCAGTCTACCTGTTGCAGGTGCATCTGTCCATTAAAGTATCATTTAGTAGTGATCCTTGCGGTGTCCTTGTGAAGATGAAATCTTGCCTTCACATTGCAGATCCCATCCATCATGCCTGGCCCTACTACTGTGCTGAATGGGATAGATTCCAGACAAATTGAAGCCATTAGTGAACCCAGATAGGTTTTTCTGACCATCAGTGGTGGTTTCATGGGCATATTTAGATTCTTCATTCCAGTTCAGGTTTGAGCTGATGAGGAACATTCATGCTACAAGTGCCAGGCAATGGCCAGTTCCAACAGAACAGCATCTAACTGTTGCTTCTTGATGTTCAGTGCAGTTACCATCTCTGAATGACACTTTGAGCATTGTGGGAGTTACCATCAACCAGCAACTGAACTGGACCAGCCATATAAATACTATGGCTACAGAAAGTCAGAGGCTGAGAATTCTGTATTAAGTAACTCACCACCTTTCTCCCCTATGCCTGTCCACCCTCTCCAAGGCACATCGGGAAGAGATGAAATATTCTCCCTTTGCTTGGATAGGTGCAATGCAAACAACACTCAAAGCAGAACACTGTCTGGAATAAAGCAGCCTGCTTGATTGACACCCCATGTAACAACTTCAGCATTCACACTGTACCACCAGTGCACAGTGGCAGCCATGTGTGCCATCTAAAGCTGTGCTGAAGCAACACATGGAAGCAGATGTCTGATAGTTACAAGGGCAGCAGATGCATAGAACACCACCTGCAATTACCCCTGCAAGTCACACTCCATCCTAACTTTGAACTGTATTGCTGTTCCTTCACTCTGTTTGGGATAAAATCTTAATACTAATTCTCTTTATAGCATTGTGCGTGTCCCTATATGTCCAAGGCCTGCCATGGTTTAAAAAGGCAGTTTGGCACCACCTTATGCAGGGGAATTGAGTTTACCAATAACTGCTAGCCTAGCCTATAGTGCCCATATTCTGTGAATGAATTTTTGAAAATGAATCATTTTGTGGTGGTACAGAAGAAGAACAGAAAGATTTGATCTGTAATGTGCTTTATGGGGTGATTTGGGTTGTGCTGGCCAGTACACGTAACTAATCTTATTGTGTTATCTGATACCCAAAATGGTATTGGTTTCGTAACTGGACTATTGAATATGTTCTTCGAATTCCGATTGCAGAAATCTTTTTAAAACAAATGTTGTATGCTATTATTGCTCTCTTATACTTATTGTAGGTGGTGATGTTGGTGCTTGCCTGGAAGTTGGATGCCCAGAGCATGGGTTACTTCACTCTACAAGAATGGTTGAAGGGAATGACCTTATTACAGTATGAAGTGCTTTTGATTTAGTTTTTATTTGAAATAGTTGCCAGTTAATTTAAAGCTTTCAAATAATGTTTTATTTTTAAAGTGTAGATTTCACCTGTTCTATTTATGTTGCAATTCTGCATTACAAAATATGGCTGTTTCAATTCATCATGCCTATTATACTGCTAGATTCACACTTCTGTTCTACCAGTTGGTTGAGTCTTATATGAGATGTTTGGGTAGCATCTCATTCAATTTCTAGTGAGCATTGGCCTTCAACAGACACTTGTTCCTAATCCTGCTTTAATTGGCAGTCTCATTCCAAAACTGTAGGATTGCTTCTGTGGGAAGTCAGAAAAATTGCCAGAAATGTGATTGGCAGTACCTTTTCTTAGTTTGGGCTGCTGGAAGTGTGTCAGCAATATTGTGAACCAGGATAATTGAGCTAAGAATATTTATTTTAGGTAACTGATATTGGTAATGAGAACAGTCCCTTCTACAACAGTAACATTCCATTTGTAAAATGAGCATAATTTGTTTAAACTTTCCCTGAACTTGGAAGTGATAGTTGGCTGCTCAGGTCTTCAGACCTGTCCTGCCCTTCTGCAGGATCTGCAGCTGAATTCATATATGCCAGCCTTTTTCCTATATCTCTTAATTTTATAGTTAACCAGGTATTATTAATCCATAATTTCAGTTTCACTCTTAATTGTCATTTGTGGGAGAGAGTTCCAAATTTCTTCCTACGATATTGTTGACGCACCTCCAGCAGCTCAACTCAAACTTCCAGTCACATTTATGGCGATTTTTCCTGACTTCCCACAAAACCAATCCTACAGTTTTGGAATGAGATTGCCAATTAAAGCAGGATTAGGAGCAACTGGAATATAAGAATGTTTCTTAACTTCGCTCTTGAAATCTGTCCCTAAATATTAGGCAGTCTTAGTCAGGAATGGTTGTCTTCTCTTTTACCTCCCCCTCTTTTACCTTCCCGTCTATTGAATTTAGCTGCAAGGATTCTTGCTGGACACACCCCACTCTTGGCTCCTCCCTGTCGCTATTGACTACTTATCCAACAATAAAAGTGTTATGCATTTAATCTGATAACCTAATATGGTTTTGACTGTAAAAAAGTTATTTTTATTTCTGTTTTTCACTTTAAGGTGTGACACAACAGAGAAACTGAGAAATTCATTAGATTACTTGAGATCATTGTTGAATGAACCCACAAATTTTAAACTTGTATACAGATACGCCTTTGATTTTGCCCGGGTAAGTAACTATTGTAAGAAAATTTTGAAAATGTAAATGAGTGAAATTCCAAAACTTGTCATAGGACCAAGACTAGTAGATATTCACAATTTTAAAATACAACACTGTTCTATTATCTTGTAGAAAAATATAATAACTTTGGGTCCATTTTTAAAAATTTTGATATATTTGAATCCTTCACCAAACCACTGACATTATCCCCCCTCCGCCCCATCCATTAAATGTTATGACAAAGGTATATAATTTGTTATCAGTTTGGAATTTGCAGGGAGGTTGTTTCCACTGTTGGGTGAAACTAGAGCTTGGGTGCATAGCCTCAAAATTAGGGGGGGACAGATTTAGGACTGAGTAGAGGTGGAATGTCTTCACCCAAACGGTTGTGAATCTGTGGAATTCCCTGCCCAGTAAAGCAGTTGAGGCTACCTTGTTGAATGTTTTTAAGGCAAATATAGATTTTTGAAGGATTATGGTGAGCGGGCGGGTAAGTAGAGCTGAGTCCACAAAAAGGTTAGCCATTCTCTTAATAAATGGCAGAGCAGGCCCAAAGGGCCGGATGGCCTGTTCCTGCTCCTATATTTTATGTTCTTATGTAATTTGGTTTGTTAAGATTGAAGCAGGTGAATTTCAGTTCTGTGCTATTGACTTTTTGTTTTTTTTTAAAAGAGGTCAGAAAATTATTTGGAAAAGTGACCAAAGCATATATTTCCAAGAAATTTATACAATTCAGTTACAATACAATTCAATACAACATAGGAACAGGCTCTTTTTGGCCAACCAGGCCTATGCCATTTCTAAGTCTTATTTAGACCCACCGGGTCCAAATTTTCCAAAATGTGACTTGGTAAGTGCTCAGCCAGATACCTGTCATGTTAGTTGAAGTGTTTTCACCATTGAGTCTGTGATATTAGGAAAACAAATGATTGGGGATGCTGCTAGTTTAGCTTTCAGTTCAGAAGAATCAGATTTCAGTTTCAGGCTAGCAGAAGAGCATTCTGTGAGATTAGTACAATCTCCAGATTGAGAGAGTTTGTAGAATCTGTCAGAACTGAAAAGGAATCCAGGCCAACAGAACTGATTTGAGTAGCAGTCCAATAAGGATGACTGCTAACAGTCTTTCATGTTGTTAATTAAATTTAAGATAAAAGCGACAGTTCTCCGGGATTGAGCTTCTGAAGAGGATATTGCTGGAGGAAAAAAATTGTCCTTATTTTTGATATTCACATTAAGATCTCAAAATGATTGACGGACACAATATAACTTCTTTCCTTTTTTTTCCTTACTTGTACAATCTTGCGTTAAAAGAACATTGGCAGCCTCCTGTGAATATGTTCAGAGACTGACCATTATAGGCATATAAACAGTGTGGTTAAAGGAGAAGTAGGGCCAATCAGAGACCAAAAAGGGATTTTACACATGGAGGCAGGGGGCATAGCTGAGTTATTTATTGAACACTTTACATTTGTCATTACAAAAGAGAAGGATACAGTCCAAGCTATGGTGACTGAGGAGGAAATTCTGTTAATAGGAGGGTTCAGAGTTAATATGGAATAAGTCTTGAATAGTTTGTTTGCACTTAAAGTTGACAAGGCACCAAAACTGGCTGAGGTGCATTTAAGGATTTTGAAGGAAGTGAGACTAGAAATTGCCAATGCTCAGGCCATAATCTTTCAGCTTTCACCTGGGCTTGGGAAGTGCCAGAAGACTGGAAAATTGAAAATATAATAACCTTGTTTCAGAAAGGTATTAAGGATAACCCGAACAAAAAAAAACTGTTAATTAGGGCATAGAGTAGAAGTGCAAGGAGATGATGTTGCATTTGTACAAGACACTTGTTAGCTGGTGCATTGTATACAGTTCTTTACATTATAGGAAAGATGTAAATGCATTGAAGAGCGTGCAGAAGAAATTTTACAACAATGGATTCAAGAATGAGAAACTTCAGTTGTGAGGACAGATTGAAAAAGTTGACTGTTTTCTCTTGGAGAGAAGAAGCTTCTGTTACATTCTGTCATTTCCTTTGCTAAAACAGTTGCACAGCTAATTATCATACTTCAGGGTTTTTGCCTTCCAGCCAACAGTATCAGGTTTTTCAATTTAAAATGATGTACACTGCAGAGCAGGAAAGTGTAATAACAGAGTATGGAAGTAACTGCATATTATAGTAGTTCTGGTCAAACTGCAAGTGGTGGGTTTGAAACATGAACCAAGTGAGAAGCTGGAGACAGTGGTATAAAATAAAGCTTGATTGGACAATAGCAGTACAATTTGGGCGGCATGGTAGCTCGGTGGTTAGCACTGCCGCCTCACAGCACCAGGGACCCAGGTTTGATTCCAGCCTCTGGTGACTGTCTCTGTGGAGTTTGCACATTCTCTTCATGTCTGCGGAGGTTTCTACCAGGTGCTGTGGTTTCCTCCTACAGTCCAAATATATGCACGTTAGATGGATTGGCCATGCAAAGTTACCCATAATCTCCAGGGATGTGCAGGCACGTGGGTTAGCCATGAAAAATGTGGGGCTACAGAGATAGTGGGGTGGGCATGGATGGAATGCTCTTCAGAGGATCAGTATGGACTTGATAGGCCAAATGGCCTGTTTTCACACTGTAGGGCTTCTATTAAATTGCCTATTACCACTGCCCCATCAACATTTTCAAAATTGACAGATATATGCTATATTTGTTTCTTTTATGTAATGTGTGAGCCACTAACAAGGCCAAAAGCTGTTGCCTATTCCTAATTTCCTTTAAATTCAGTAGCTCGGCCACTTTAGAGGGCACTTGAATCAACCATGTTATTGTGGGGGAGTTGTATGTAGGTCAGACTAGGTAAGCATAGCAAATTTCCTTCCTAAAGGACATCAGTAAGCCAGATGCATGTTTACAGCAATTGATGGTAGTTTTGTAGACCCATTAATGAGACCCATCAGCATTCATGTTCATGATTTATTAATTGAATTTAATTTCCCTTAACTGCCTTGGTGGGACTGTCCCCACAGAATTAGTTTGGACCTTTTGGATTATTAATTTAGTTACATTATCACTACAGCACTGCTCCCGAGGGCTGAAGAAATGAATCTCGTCTTCTTTCCCCAAACTTCCTGAGTTTTGACTGGCATCTCTTGGGTATTTTGGTTCAGTTCCTGCCAATCTGACCAAAAAAGCCACCAAGAGATTCCTTCCTCAATGAGAAAGAGTGCCCTTCGATAGCAATGAACTGAAACCCAAAAGACAAAAATAAACTGACTTTACATGGTACTGGCAGGGCTCCGGATACAATCTGAGCTAAGTCACTTTAAGAAAGAACATGTGAGAGGGTAGAACCAATTTTGGGTTATTTCACTCAAAGGCCTCATTAAACATAACAAATATTTCAAAATAATATTTATAAATAAGTAAAGTCTATGTTCTAAATTTAAAGTTTTACCATGAGGTTTCAACTGATGACCCAGTCTTTAACAACAGAATGGCTGTTGAAAGGCAAACTACAACTACAAGAACAACACAAAGGCATCTCTGGTGATATTTTGCTAAAATTCAAAGCATGTATTTCGTGGTGCTTGTTCTAAAGCACAGCTTTCAGGTCATCTTTAGACATGAAAGAAGTGTTTTTTATTTGTTTAATTTACATTTCTAATTTTAAAAAAGATACATTTGTGCCTTGTGTGTAGCTTTTAAAACTGGAGGAGAAATTTCTTTGCTTAATACCACTGCAGCATTCTTTGTTTAACATCGTTGAAGTACTCCAAACCACAATTCCCATAATAGTGCGTGCTCCTAGGGAATAGAAGAATGTCTGGAAACTGTATCAGTTACTTAATTTTTGTAAATATTAAATTAATGTTGTACCAAAAATTCAGCACTTAAAATATATACATATAATGCAAGTATCTAATTGGCTCATTAATGTAGCATTGCAAAGAAAACTAAACGTTGTTATCAGACTAGTTTTAGAAATGAAGTGACTTGCTGCATTGTTCATGTCTACATGCCTTTGTATTTTGTTTACATTTTTTTAAACAGGAAAAGGACCAGCGTAGTTTGGAGATTAGCACTGCTAAATGCATGCTGGGACTACTTCTAGGAAAAACCTGGCCACTCTTTCCAGCCTTCCATCAGTTCCTTGAGGTATTAAAATGTGACCTCTTTCAATTGCAACTATTTCTGCCACCAGTATTTACATATTTAATTTGAATGTAACAGTAATGCTCCTGTGTGATTGGAATTTATCTTACGCTGTCCAAAAATATTCTAATATTTAGAGACACTAAACTAGATGCAATTACTTTCATTTCCAAAATTGCTGTTTCGACCTACAGTTATCTATAATTCAAATACTAGGATCTATTTTCAATTATTTAAAAGATTTTGAAAATTGTTGTTGTTGGGCCTAAATGCTTGATGCAAGATTATGGTTCATTTTAAATATATGCATGTAAAACATATTTACCTGCATTTATATGACTGTATTAAGGTGCTTTCTACTAAAAGTAATGCATGTGGCTAAAACTGTTACTGAACTCGGCATAACTAAACGCTCTTACATCAGAATACCCAGATTGCTGTACTAATGGCTTATTATAGTGTTGCATGCCAATGTCAAATAATTCAATGTTTGTTTCACTTGAGTTGAATAACACAAAAATAATGGAATTTGTATTGTTTGATAACATTTGGTTTAAATATCAAAAGTTGTCCTTTGGTTGATTTTGTAAAATCTGGGTATCTCCTGTTTGTACTTTTTACTGAAGGGCGCTACTAGATTTGACGTGCTTCAAAATGTGAATGGTGAGGAATGTGCTAACTTATAGTTTGCCATAATATAAGCAAAGTAGAAACGTTTCATTTTTCTGCATCATCAAGACATATGAAATGATCTGTAGTATTTTTAAAATTTTATGTTTCACACAGCAATCCAAGTATAAAGTGATCAACAAGGACCAGTGGTGCAATGTGCTCGAATTTAGCAGAACAATTAACCTTGATCTTAGCAACTATGATGAAGATGGGGCTTGTAAGTACAATAGTTGAATTTCTTTAACTGTCTTCATTTTTCTCCTTGTCTTTTTCCCTTTAGCATCCATGTCTGAGGGAGTGAGAAATAACTGATGTTCTGAGATCTCATGCTGGAAGGTTTACAGTGATGACCTTTCCTAAAATTTTCCCCTTCCTTCAGGGAAGCACCAAGTCAATTGCTCACTTTCTCATTGTAGTGAAATGGAGATTGGGAAATCCATGTGAATGCAGTGCAGGTTTAAACCAGCATTCCAACATATTGTGGCCACCAAGGCTTTATTTTGGTAATGAATTGATAGGGAAGTTCAATTTGAAACAATCTTTAAAAAAGTTAGGATCATACATGTCCTTGAATTACTTCTGTTGCAATCTTGATGGAACAACTCAATTGTTCTGTTTATCGTGTATTTTTAACTTAAGCCCTTCATAACATTGAGAATCAATCAAAAGGAGATAATGAATAATGTAGTTGTGAGAGGATCTTCATGAAAAAATGATTATAACATGGTAAAATTATTCTGTGGGATAGAGAGTGCTGTAGGTCAATCAGAATCTACTGTCTTAAATATAAAGGCAGGAAATAATAAAACCTTGAAGTTATGAGGGATGACTTGCCTGTGTTAGACTGGGTACCTTCATTTAAAGGCATGACAGTAGATAGGCATAGCTAACATTTCAAAGGTCAACTACAAGCATTGTGATGGTTATCCATTCCTTTTGATTGAAAGAGAGCAACAGAAAATGTGGCCCAACCATGACTAATAAAATAAAGAATAACATTAGATCCAAACAGGAATCATATAAAGTTGTGAGAAATTGTCCCTGAGGACGGAGAGCAGTTCAGAATTCAGAAAAGGAGGACCAAAGGCTTGAGGGAAAAATGGAGAATGCGAGTGAACTTGCAAAGAGCATAGAAGCTTCTACATCTATTTTTAGAAGTATGTAGAAAAGATTAGTGAAGACAAATATAAGCCCATTATAGTCTGAAATAGGAAAATTTAGAATTGGCGGAACAATTGAACAACTACTTAGATGTATCGTCTTCTGTGAAGACAGTAAATAGATTCTTTGGTGCTGTGGTTTCTTCCCACGGTCCAAAGATGTGCAGGGTAGGTGGATTGGCCATGCTAAATTGCCCATAGTGTCCAGGGATGTTTAGGTTAGGTGGGTTAGATATGGCAGGTGCGGTGTGCGTCTGGGTCGGATGCTATTCGGAGGGACGGTGTGGACTTGTTGGGCCAAATAACCTGTTTCCACGCTGTAGGGATTCTATGATTCTAAATGCTGGGTAAGCAAGGATCTTTTGGGAATAAGGAACTGAATGTGACCTGTGATCCGAGCTGATATTACAGGACAAATCAGATCCCAGTCTAAAACTGGCCTGATTAGATCATATTTTGTTTTATTGCATAACCAAGCTACTGCCATATGACACAATTTAAAAGTTAATTAAACTGAGTAAGGCTTAATTAACTTAGAGATAAGATATGGTAGGAGCGCTTCAAATTGTAGTCTGCTGCTCTTGCTTGATGTGGGAAGCTGGGCACGTTTCCAGTGCCCAGGACCCGCATGTATGAAAGAAGTGTCTCCAGCTGCAGTTCCTGGAAGCCCAAGTTTTGGAGTTGGAGCAGCATTTGGGGACAGTGTCAAGCATTCGCAAGGTGGAGAGTGTCGTAAATAGCATGTATAGAGAGATGGTCACATCGCAGATTCAAGCTGCACAGGCAAGAAGGGAATTGGTAACATCAGGCAGAGTAGGAGGGCTAAGCAGGCAGTGTTGGAATCTCCTGTAGCTATTCTCCTGCAAAACATGTACCATTTTGGATACTGTTGAGGGGAATGGCCTTTTGGGGGATAACAGCAGCAGCCAAATTCATGGCACCATGGATGGCTCTGCTGCAGAAGAAGGGAGAGATAGACATAGAAATGCTCCAGTTATAGGAGATTCAGTTGTTAGGGGAATAGATAGGTGTTTCTGTGGCTGCAAGCGAGAGTCCAGGATGGTGCGTTGCCTCCCTGGTGCTTAGTGTTCTGGATGTCTCAGAGCGGTTGCAGATCATCCTGGAGGGGGAAGGATGAACAGCCAATGGTCATAGTACACATTGGTACTGACGACATAGGTTTAAAAAAAATGGTTGAAGTCCTAAAAGCAGAATATAGAGAACTGGGAAGAAAGTTGAAATGTAGGACCTCAGAGGTAGTTATCTCAGGATTACTACCAGTACCACAAGCTAGTCCGAATAGAAAAAGCAGGATATATGGGATAAACAGACACAGTAGGAACTGCAGATGCTGGAGAATCTGAGATAACAAGGTGTAGAGCTGGATGAACACAGCAGGCCAAGCAGCATCAGA